CACTATCATTAATTCTCACCATGTAAAAATATCATCAACAATGTAACAGAATATAAAGATGGATGATTACACAATGCCAACGGTTTTGCTTTAATTTGCTAAAATCTTGTTTTCAATACATTTATTTAACAATAGAAGAGTTCAACAGGTAGTAACAATAATTCCAATAGAAATATTGAAATATGTAAAAACACAAATAATAAAAAATCTGGCAATATTTCAACATTACCGGATCGAAAACCTTTCAAGTGATAATCTTGCACACATTATATATATTGTATATTTTTCATTTATTAATTATTTAATTAAATCATATTAATTGTATCATTGTTATTATTTATTATTTATTATTTATATATATATAATTGATTTTTAAAACGGGGATGTTACCTTTTTCACATGGATATTGCCTTGTCATTGACAAGGTTCCGAATATGTGATGCTTTTCTAGTTGGAATTCTAGTACTGGGTATATTTCAAATCAGAACTAGAAAATAATTATTCAATATATCCCGGATTACATGTATATGTTTGATTCACAAAAAAAAAAAAAATAAGAATCTGTTTTACAAATTATTATCTGCTCGTTGTCATTGTGTCATCATCCATCTTTATATTCTCTTACATTTTTGATAATATTTTTAAAAGAGGAAATTTAATGATATTTTTTTTTCGATAATTAATGTCGTAATTCCAAACCATGTACAAATACAAATGTATCAATATTTATTCGATTGATAATCTGGTTGCTAATTATTTTATCCATTTTATCTATTATTTATAATTCATTATTGTACAAAACTGATTGTATACAATGATATTAATTTGAAATATTGATAATACAACACCCCAAACTTTGGCTTGAAAATATTGGATTTGAATTTGAATTTAATACTCTATGAAATTAATGTGAATTTGCATCGCCCCAAAAACGGGAATATAGTTTTGACAATTACAATCGCAATTCACATGTGAAATTCAAATTAGCCAATCAGAATTTCATATCCAAAACACCCCACCCCAAAATTTTAATTATAATATTAATATCACCCAGCCTGATCATAAATTAAACCCAATAATTGTTGCGAGAAGCCTAAGGAACCAATAAAATTTTCAAATTTAAATAATTAACAATTTCATTACCATCGCTGTTAAAAATAGTTACAATATGTATTGGAGATGGAAAGAAATCGAAAAATCACCCGCGATTCAAAAAGGGCTCAATTAAAGATAAGCAGCGTAACATTAATGCTTCTATTATTGATTCAAACGAAGATGAATACCCACAAAGAATATGGAACATTCCAAGCTTGTGATAAATATTATTACTAATTTTGTAGGTATTTAATTAAGTATATACACAAGAATATAATAATCATCAATATCTTCAATGGATTACGTACAATAATTTAAAAGATATTAATATTGAAATAGTGCATAAAAAGATTACACAAACATATTTCTGATAAATTTATTGAAAGCGAGACAGGTTAACGCAATATTTGATGTAACATTCGTAAATGAAAAGATATGTATGAAATATTGCATATGCAGCACTTTTGGTTTTGAGGTGTTGATGTCAGTTGTATCAATAAGTCAATAACCATCCATTAATATTCCACATAACATAGTTCTTGCAATGAAGATTGGGTCCAAATTTCTAATTTCTATGGTATCCGATAAACGCCAAACGGCCAAGGAATTATATATTATTATTATTATATGATATTGAATTAGTAGACTATTTATTACAATTCAAAATCTTCCTCGATCTATGAATTCAAATATTAATTTTTTTAAGATTTGTTATCGATATTAATTTTAATATAATATAATTAATATTCCATACAAATGGTATCTATTTAAAGTTTGAAAATAATACGTGGCACTTGTCACAGTGGACTAAAAAAAGTTCCCGAATTAGATCACGTTTTAGAAATTTTATTGGTTAAAAAAAATATAAAAAAATAAATTTATATTTAGTGCCAGAGCTTGCTTTAGTAAATAAATACACACACCATTTGGGCAAATTTACCTAAAGATGCTGGTTTTGGTGTCTTGCCTTTCATGTGTGGTGGAACTCGCTTTGACTTTTCCATATAATTGATTATCATTCCACATTAAATTTGTTTTTTGTATTTTTTGATCTCTTTCTCCATCACTTCCCTTCCTTCCACTCATTATTACTAAGATCATCCAATTCGTCCAATTCTTTCTCTTTCTCTTTTTGCTCTTCTTCTTATCATTATTATTATTATCATCCGATCCTTTCTCATTCCATCTTCGTCATCAATTTATTATTAGTATGATATATTTTTTTTAATAAATGCTTACTTATCTTCTGCATCTATCTTTCTGTTTATCTCCATGTTGTCTTTTTCTTTTAGAAAGAAGTGACATTTTTTGATTAATGAAAGAATATATTTAAAGATTTAATATTAATTACAACTTATTAATTTATTTACGCGATTTTAATGCTACGTGATAAATTTTTTGCTTCCACTCCCTCAAATAATTATGCAATAATAATAAAAGACCGCCAGTTCATCTATACGGCAACAGTCAATTATCCTCTCTGAAACTGATCATTTCATCTAAACCAGATTTAGGTAGACTTCCCCATAGTGTGATATTACCATTGGGTGACGAGCGCGAAATGTTTTTGTTTCAAGTCGACTCTTTGGAAAATTTTTCGTTAGATTTTGATATATTTCCCACCTTTGGTTCCAAAGTTATTGGTAAAGGTGTTGCATTGCCTGACATGTTTGATTTTACGGGCTATGGTTATGAAAGACACAATCATCTGGTGAATGGTGGGACCGGTGGTAAATGTATTTGTCCTTTGTTTGACACGCATTTGAAGGTGGTCGGTGAGTTGTCGTTTGAATTTGCTGTCGTCAAACCATTCAGTGGTGTACAACTTGAAATCGGCGGGCATGTAGAAACATATTGGAAGTCAACAAATACTATAAATGTTTCTATACCATCAGATCAACCTTCGAATAACGCCTTTAATAATAGGATCAGCATTAGGAGTATAAGTGGTGGTGGTAAGATTGGTAGTAATAACGATAGTAATGATAATAATATTAGCAGTGGTAATAATAACAATAATGATAGTAATGATAGGATTGAAAATAATATTAACAGTAACAATACAATACCATCATTCATCACGGCATCTTCATTGTCCGGTGAATATATTCAAGTAGTGGTTCAGGTGACCAGAGATATGGTTGCTGTTGTATATTCAGATTGGGTATTACCAATTACAAAATTTGATTTAAGCGTATTTAATGTTACCTTTCAACAATTTGAAGGACTGAAGGAAAAAAATATAGAGGATGATTTTTATTCGGCAAAAAGTACATCCGAACTACAAAGATTAGTTCACCAATCTTTTCTTTCTTTAGAAGTTGTTTTAGAGGTATTTGTTTTAATCGATTTTGATTTTTTTTTTTTTCTGCAAACTTGAAAATTCATTTTCTATTCATTCTTGATCTAATTTATTAGAAATTGCCATCATCAATTGGTGTAAATTTGGAAATAAGATATCCAACAATCTACGAAATGACACGTTATTGGTTTTCAGATCTACCCGATATAAATAGTTATGTCGACACTATTTTACAAACAGTTTACGATTATGCAAAAAAAAACATAAGCAAGGATTCGATAAATCACAGATCAGTGATATTTTCTTCATTAAATCCTGCAATCTGCACTGCTTTAAATTGGAAACAACCAAATTGTAAATATTCAAAAATATTTTATTTATTATTTAATTTATCCAATTACATTGTTTTATAATTGAAAAATACTATTGTTGTTGTCTTCAAGATGCGGTATTTTTCAAATCTTATTGTGGATATGAAAGCGAATCATTGGATCGTCAGAAAAATAATAATGCCGAGGAAGAAAACAAAATTATTCC